GTGTCATCAAAACTACAGAGTTAAGATAGCTATACTGAAGAGCATGATCATAGAAAGCCCACAATTTGCGGATGTAGAATTCTGGGATCAAGAATAGGAAAGGTCGGCTTGTTTATTTTCCTTGGCAATGGACATGCGAGAGAAGTAATGCAAAGAAATATACTTGCCGTGAAGAGCCCATGGCAGGACGGGGCTTATGAAAGAACGGTTAGGATGTAGAAAGACTCACAAAAGTGTATATTCCTCCCTTTCTGCAACCTAGCTCAAAATCTACTGCCAATATTAAGAAAATGGCATATTCAGGTGACTACGAAGAAAAAACAACACTCTTCACAAGTCCGCGCATGCAACATTGGAGGGTGTGAAATTTGACCGATCGGGAGCTCACTGCATAGCATGCGGGGTCTGCAAACAGAGGTATATTGGCGAAACATGAAGAAAAATCAGCCTACTAATCAAGGAACATCAAAGGCTCTGCAGGAAAATGGATGCCAAAAGATCAGAAATAGCGCGCAGACTAGACACGAGATCAATTGGAAAGCAACAGACGTAAGGGTGAATACACAAGGAAACAGAAGATTAGGGAGGCCATTGACGTCCTTGGGGAAAAACGTAATGAACATGGTATTAAAAGAAGGCAAAGTTCGCGATAACTTTGCCTATTGCTTAAGCAAACTGGGAGAAAACAATGATACGACAAGACGAGCAAAAAGGAGACGCCTGGATTAAGAATCTATTGTAGACCAGAAGAAAAGGGATCGCAAGGAAGAAGGGGATGAGGAAGTTTCGGAAATAAGGCGAAGTCGCTCTCACTGAGTGTAGTCGACTCAAAGAAATAACGACAACTTTGGGGGCCTGACGGTCACGTGACTATGGTGACGCATAATCACAACCCTCACATAAATTTGACATTATGGCCAAAATGTACTAGAAATCCACTCGAAATGCAGCAGGGGACCAGAAATAGGAGTGCTCTGAGTAAACGTGTAGAATCAAAATGACACGCGAAGGCAATGCTTAATATCTGCAATCACGGACATCAGAGCCTAGTCGCTCTGCTCGGTGAGGCGACAGTGTAAGTGTTTCTGGAGGCTCGAGAAATAGGACATGGAGTAGAAGTGAACTTGCGCTGGAACCGAGTCGGAGCAGCAATTGGAAATGGTGGGCGCCAAGGGAAACAGCAGGTGTAATGACGCCTCGGTACCCCCATAAGATGGGCACACCTCTTGAGTACTGGAATGTGAACAAGTCAGCATTTCTAGTAGGTCGGTATTGAGATTAGGCAGTAGTGCGTAGATAACTGGGCCAGAACAGAAAGAGAGCTGATAGCACAACCGTTTTGACACAAAATCGGTCAAGGGTTTGACCTCAATTGTCTCTGACGCGTTGTAGTTTGGTGCTGAGATTGACAATACTCACTGATGAGGCTGATTACGATGCCTGCAAAACGAATAATAATTTTCCAAGTCTATAGTTTGGCGCTTGGAACTATGATAACTACCATATCAGATGACTTCAGACAAGGCGCGTCCAACTAGGTTGCTTTGACAACATCGCCAAGTTGCGAAAACGAGATCAGATCGCATCTCTTCTCAATCGCTTTTCATATTGGTGTTTCTATTGTGGCATACATGAATTCGCATAACACTACTTATTATCTGTGTTGATATGTTTCTTAGATATTTACCAATTACTAATGTTTTAGAAACTTACTCGATGCGTGGGATATATTGAGAGACCTGCTTGCTTCGGAATTCATTCTTGTGCAATCCTCAAGGTGTATGGCCGTGTGACCTGGGGGCTGATTTGTTTGACGATTGAATTTCCATATTCAACGTTGAATCTCGCTGGGGTTGTTGGTGAAGCATATGCTATTTCATGCCTACAATTCTTTCTTGATGAATATAGCCTTTTCGATGCATATCGCTATGAATTTTACCACAATCTAGCTTTCTCCTCAATTCATCATTGGCATTTTTACTATCCATCCCGCAACAATAGGTAAAACTTACCCTCTTTTATAGGTGGCTAAAGGCTGTTTTCAAGTAAAGAGTATTTTTAGTGTTATATTATTCATAATAGTATCAATTATGTTTGTCCATCTGTAGTACATGAAACCGCATCAGACTTAAGGGCAAAATCGTGCTATCTATCCATAAGGGTGCAATCATATACAGCTCAAATTGTGCTATCTAGTTTGGTCTGCTCATTGCTATCTTTGTTGGTAAAGATTAACATGAATACTCCAGAGTGGTGTGAATCTGTTTTCCGTGATACTCACATCCTTTTGGTGCTCATAGTTTTCTTTGTAAGTAAAACCTGACTATTACAGAGTAAGTAAACGCTGAGAATTTCAATAATTCTTGCACTTTATCTAATGCAATTGTTTTCTGTTGCTCAGTCGACCAAACAAATTTGTCCAGCGAATCAATTTCTACTGCTCCTGCGGTCATGGATCGACTCAACTGGGGCCAGCAAAGAGCCTGCAGCCCCGCAACTTACTTTTCTTCATCACCCAATTCTGGAATCGCCTCGGCTAGTCTGTCTCCGGGCTTGGGACAAGTATCTGTCTCTTTGCCATCATCTTTATCGACTACCTCTCTTCTATCCATCTCTCAACGCCGCCTTCGGCAGATTGAAGACCCCGTGCTGCGTTTAATGGAGATAGTTCATAAGCTGGGCATTACCACATTGCTGCCACCTACATTAAACCCAGATCTACAAGTTCTACGGCGGGTCGTAGACAGGTAATTAGAAGTTATTTTGAGACTTACATTGAGCATGAAACTGCATGAGTAAGAGATTTGTAGATTGATCTCACCAGAAGACGAAGAATGTATATTAAATTTTATAATATTAACAGTTAAGTCTAAAGTGTCCGACAATCTATATTTATATAGGCCTGAAATATCAGGAGATTAGTGCATTTTATTATACATAATAATCGTTTGGATCAAGCTTTTCTTATCATAATACAGACATGCTTTTCTCTATTTCTCGTTTCATATGTAGGTTTTTCGAGACTACCAATATATTTTATCTAAGAGCTTTATTCACCCTATTTCTTTTATGGTAATAAAGGATTGGCATTTGATTTTTCGCACTGCTATGAGTAGGCCTGACGTTTTCATTGAATTTCGCAAACTTACCATCATGCATTGAATGCATCTTATCTATACCTGTTTGTCTTTTCCTTCATTCAATATCTAATAATCTCAAATTCACT